GCTGAAAACTTGATGGCTTCGTAAAGTGATCTGGGGAGTTCTGTAGTTCTCTCTGAGAGCATAATTGCGCTGAGATAATTGACAGCCTCATTTATAGCTGCCAATTCTTGTTATCTAGTTCCGACCCATCCGTTTAAAAATAAATCGAATCTGGTTTCATTTTGAAATATGTGCACGTGGTTTATTACTAGTCTTTCCGCAACCAGCATAATGCCGGCCAATAATGTCAATAAGCTCGAAAGGATATTCGTATGTTCTATTGCTGTGGTACGTAGGGCCCCGCTAATATACAGGAGCACTGTCCTCTGCGCTCTATCAAATTTGGAGATGCTTAATTTATTCTCGAGCGTTCTTTGATGGATCAAACTAAAACACCATAGAGAAGTATAGGAGTGACACCTACAATATGAAGTCTTTTATAGATGAAGTGTGCTTTTTACAGTCTGTCACACTTTTGCAAGTAGAGAGGATAATGGAGCGCCTTCCCCTTCTTTTCCACTAAGTTTTGTGACCAGCTTAGTTTCCTGTCCAGCATAAATCCCAGATATTTTGCAGACTCAGTAATGTACAGCTCTATTCCTGAGAACATTGGTGTTGAAAACTATGGAATTTTATATTACCTAGTGAAGGAAACAAGTTCTTATTTTATATTTATAATTAAAATTATTTTATAAAAAAATATTTTATCAAGCTTCAAGTTCAGTTTTATTTTACATCAGTGCTCAAAGAAATAGTTCAGTTAGATCCCCACGATTTAGGAGAAAATAAGACATTTTTTTTCTTCCTTTAAATAAGGTTACTCATACGCCCCAGTTAGCACATGAAAGTAGGATATACTCTCGCGAAATTTATATTCAGTTGCTAAGTACGGAAAAAAAACCAACGATAGAGTCATAAATACCTAATTCCATTGTAATTTTTATAATTTATATGGCAAAATAAAAGTTCATTTTATAAAATTTGTGACTAATAAAGAATAAAGGTGGATGTTTGATTTTTAAATCTATAAAACCTTGATGTGACTTCACGGTAAGGATAATCGAATGGTTTTTGCAGAGTCGAAGAAGAGTCATATTTCTATGTCCAGTTCTGAACTCTATATGGCATAAGTACTGAGGATATCACTTCTTTGATTGCCTGGCTGTGTAGCAACGGCTGCTAAGGGCAAAGTCATAAGACATAGGAATTGGTACACCTGAGAAGAAGTGAAATATAACTCAATGGTCACAATGGCCCTTCAGGCATAAGTACCAATATTATCTCAGCTCAACTCAAGCCTTGAAATTTCACTTTTTTATCATTATTACATAGTTTTAACTTCTTCTATTTAAACATTTCCATATGTCAGCCAAGTATTTTTAAGCACCGCACAAACATCAACAAAAATACTATTGATTAAAATGAACTCACCGGCACAAAGTTCGGCATTTAATTTTAATCCTCCAGCTGTGAAGGTAATTTTTTATTCTTTGACGTAGACACCACTTTCGTTATCATAACAAAGTTAATCATAGGATGTCTGTTCTCACTTCTTTCAGCAGTTAGAGAAATCAATTCTTTCTCTACCTGATTCTACCAACAGAGGGGTAGCCCTCCTCTTTTTCTGCTGCATCGTCTATTTTCAAAACTAGGGTGATGTACCTCATACCAACGTCCCTCTCTTTTAATTCACTAAACTATATCGTAAATATCTCACACAAGCACGTAAGAATGATGAACGACTTTTAGAGTTTGATCTTATTTGAAAGGAGAGGAATTCACTTTTCAATTACTTACTTAGTTCAAAGTAGCACCTGTAGGCAAGTGATTATGCGTTGGATTTCAAGGTTGGTTTTGTTTTTAGAATTTATGTTGGTTCACAGATAGACGAAACTGTCTAAAAGTTCAAAGTTATTACGTTGAAGCCGAGTCGGGAATGCAATGAATAAGATGATAAGAGGTACCGTACTGTCCTCATTCACTACCGGACCCTTTCGCCTAGCTTCTTTATCCAGACTGAAGAACTTACAACGTAGTTATATGATCTTAATAACAAAATATATATATTGACGGATATAAGTTCGAGAAACAATACAGAGTAGAGTTCTTCGGCGATCATCTGAATATCGAAGGTAGTTGATTAGAAATCTGTTTTCCAAGTACTGATTCTAAGCATTATTGAATCTGCCGAAGGAATAACCACTTTAATCGGAAAATTTTCTGGTAGGCAGTCGCATATATCACGGTAAATATCACTTGAGTGCTTGGCCTTAAGAGTAATTGAAGGTTCATCTAAAATAAAAATGCCTCCGAGTTACACCGCAGGCGAGACTGTCGACGACATTAACTGTCAAAGATTCTTCAGCGCCTTCAAATCTAGCCTAATGCAGTCTGGAACACTTTCGAAACAGAGAGCACCAGTATTAAGCAAAAGAGAACGTAGAATTTTTGAATATGTATTAAGACATACTTCATGCCGCTGAGTGACGCTTGAGTCGTGATATATCGAAAATATGTATATATACATGATCTGGCTTTGATGAAATTAAGAAATACAATATGGGTGGGACCACGAATACTCCTACGAAACCGATCTGAATGCTTCTCCTATTATTCACCTATGATGAAGATTTTCAGTACCAACGTGTGTAGTTGCTCTTAGTTGTCTCTTTGACGGATTCTAGACCGAAATCCTCAAATCCGAAAATATCGGTTGTAAGAGTTCTACAGGTTATAGTAGTCTGATCGGGCCGGTAAACGATCAATTACGTACTTAAGAACGAGCAGACGGACAGTTAGACCAATGGAACATCGGTGAGTATGGGATAAAATATGCATATGTATATATGTATGTATTAAACTGTGCTTAAGGCATATACATATGTATGTAATATTATATGTAAAAAAATTGAAACTGTGACATCATATAACTTTTTTCCATAACAGCAAAGTTGACTTTGAACATATGTACTTAAATAAATATGTACATACATACATGCATATGTATGTATCTAAATACTTATACACTTTGAATCTACATCAGCTTACTTAAGTATTAATCATGCTAACTCATGCACACGTACATATCTACATATATATATGTGTATATTTACAATTGATTGCATTCACATGTGTGCTAACTTACGAAATTGAAAAACACCAACTGAGCACACAAAAAAGGATACGTCACGTTGTAACCACTTAAAAGCCACTTTTATTAGAAATACATACATACATACATACATGAATATGTATAAACGAATATTTATAAGCTCCTATATGCACGTGCATAGTGTATACAATACACATGAGCATATTTATATAAATATTATTAAAATATAAGCTTCTGCTGGTCATCACAAGTTATGTAAGTAGTGAAGTGCTTCTTGGGATATGAAAGACTTTTATTAAAATTTCTACAAAAAGGTTGTCAAAAATACATGCATACATATAAATTACTCTGTATTAACTAATATCCATATACTAAAGGGTAATTTTTTAGCTGATACCATTTTAGCAACACTGGTTTAAACAGCTGACGCACGTTTCGTGTTTTGTTTCACAAACAAAAAGTCACAGTTTGGTGCGGTTTATGCGCTGGTGGCATCATTGGACCGTACTTCTTCAAAGATCATGCGAATCGTAACGAAACTGTGAATAGTGAGCGCTACCGTGAGATGATATCAAACTTTTTTTTGCCCAAAATGCAAAAGCTTGACTTGCATGATATATGGTTTCAACAAGACGGTGCCACATGCCACACAGCACTCATAACGATGGAACCGGTCAATTGGCCGCCAGATCGTGCGATTTAACGTATTTAGACTAATTTTTATGGGGCCATGTTAAATCTGGTGTAAAAACAGACAAGTCCGCTTCAATTGAAGCATTGGAGGGCAACATTAAACATTTATACGTGAGATACCGGCCGAAATGTTGGAAAGAGCATGCCAAAAATGAACTAAGCGGATCGACCATGAGGCATTTGAGGCGCAGACACGGTCAACGTTTGCATGAAATAATCTTCAAACATTAAATTATATGGACCGTACTCTCGATTCAAATAAAGATTTCATGATTTGTATGTTTTTTTTTTAAACTTTCCTATCGCTCTTAAAAAATTACCCTTTATTAATTCACACAGGAAAGGATAAAAATATATGTATTTTATTTTTTTAAATTTTTTTTTTTTGTTTTTCATTAATTTTTTTATTTTGTGTAAAGAGCAGACGCTTTCAATTTCTAACAGCTTATTCTTTATGGGTTTATGCAATTTGCTGGTGTTTTTGTTATTTTACACTTTACTCCAATTTAGAAAACTAGTTTTCACCAATCATAGCACAAGTGCTGCGCAGCACAGTTGAGTTGAATTATTTTACAGATCGCTCTTGATACACTCAAGTGAATTGAAATGTAGCCTTACCTCCTTACCAAGATGCGCCAAAAAAACAAATTCATGGATTTCCAGATACATATTTATATATATATGGCGTTTATTCACTGTGTATTTGTATGTGTGTGTAAGTATATACATTTATAATGCATACGGTAAGCGCAGCACGCAACTGTGCACATTTGGGACACTGTTTCAGTTGCTCCCCTTTTATTTTCAAAAATGTCCTTCATAGCCTAATGTTATCAGCACTCCACATGCAAGGACATATATGGATATATGTCTATGTATGCATGTATGTACATACATATATATCAAAGAATTCTATATATTGTTACAAATGCATACAAATAAATATATAGAATGTATATATATATATACATAAATATATATATGTACATACATATATACATATTTTGCAAATAAAATACGAAATCAATGGTGTCCTTTTTTACGCAAGAGAAATCTGAATTGATTAAGAATTGGGAATTTCAATTGAAACTTCGTAAAAATCGTTTAACAATTTTTGCTACATTTCTAGTGTATACATACATACATACATATATAATATTTTTGTATAACAAATAAATTAATTAATTAGCTTAAATTAAACCGAAAATCAACTTACTCGCAAAAAACGCGAATTTAATTGGTATCCTTTGAGAACGTTTGCACTTAATTTTTTTTTTAAAGTGATACTTTTTTTTAGTTAGTTACTGACTTTTCTTATAATTAATTTTATTTTGAAAAATTTTTCTTTTAACTTTTGCACTTGGTATTTTTGTCGAATTTTTTATGCCCGAAAATTTTTTCTCACAATTCTTTACTCTTCCTACCTATGCTTCTTTACCACTTTCAGTCACCGTATTTCATTGAAACTTGCAACAGCCAACAAATTACAATAACAAACACACGACAAATAAAATTTAGAATTTTTATGCGAAAATTTCAACGCTTCTCTAACAAGCAACCATCACAAACGGCGTCAGCTGACTGAATGAAATACATTCGATGGCGATAACATAGCCCCAACGGTGGAGATTCTCATTAATACACAGGCATATACATATGTATGTAACGTAGGTATGTAACGTGAGCATGTAGCTGCAGCTGAAAGGCCAACAACAAATGAGCTAAGAAAGGCAATCGCTGGTGACAGCAATAAGCTTGTTTCTTCTATCTACTTACATATATACACACATACAAAGATATGTACTTGAGTGTAGTAGTTGTATGTATTTATGTGCAAAAAAATCCGATACTTTCTAGTATAGAGTTGGAAAAGTCATTCAAAAGTCTAGGGCAGTAGTTGCAACGACAAAAGTGTATCACAGCTAACAACAACAATGACAACAGACGACAGCAGCAGCAGCAGCAACATTGACTATTTGCCCTCATTCACCTCGAAGGTGTACCACACAACGAATAATAGTTGCTCTCTACTCTCTAAATATTTCGCTACTTCGCCGTTATTTACATCACTCTCTGCGCTCAGTAAGATTTTAAGGTTCTCTCTGTGCGATTTGAAGTTCTTTGCTGGTGCGAGCTCTCTGTTGACATTCGTGTTACATTACCCAATAGCCCATACTCAATCATCTTCCCACATATATACATACATACATATGTACTTCAGTTCATATTGTGTATACTTGTACATATGTACATATAAATATATCTACTTTAAGTAGTTTTCATTCATTACGGTTTGAAATTGAATGCATTTAACCGTGGGTAGCCCAGTAGCAGGCATGTGAGTACGTCATATCTATGTATGGATGTAAGTGTTTTCATCGCATGTCTTCAGAAATGTTGTTTCGCTCAAGCTCCTCTGCCATTTTTTGCATTGTGAAATTTGATGTTTCTCCGGTAAAGAGAAACCTCCCAAGTATAGTTCTCTCTATTGACGTACAAGGACCAAATTCTACAAATCGCTAATCGTTCCCGTCCAGCAATACGGGGGGTAGTCGAAGACGATGACAATATTTGATGGGTCGGCGTTAGGATGTTTTGAGAGAAAGGTTTTTCGTAAGATATATGGTCCTTTGCGCCTTGGCAACGACGAATACCGCAGCCAAAGGAACGATGGGCTGGAAAGACCAGGAAGGACTTTGGCTGTACTTGGTATTTCCAATTGGGAGCCAAACAGCACAAAGTAGAATTAAATGGCGCAATGTTGTTAACTCAGCTATAATCGCGTGAGCGGTATAGATGCCAGTAAAGAAGAAGAAGAGATACTTACAATTTCTTCTGCTGACTAATTTTTATGAGGAGCAGCTTATTTGTTGTTAGAAATGCACTAAAAGGTGTTGATGTACCCAGCCGAGGAGCGAATGCAATGCAAGAAGGAAAATATAGTATATTGGTTCCAGATTTCCCAAACTACCCAAGGAACCAACTAATTTCGAAATTGACCTATTGACCTTAACCATTTCCAAGCCATTCAAAACATTCATGACATTCAGTTGATAAGATCCTCTAAAGTGGTTACTTGGTTTCATATAATTATGTTACTCTCCTGAGACTTCTGAAACAACGCACCGTGAAATCACTCTCTAAGTCATTTTGGCTGAGCTTCTTTTCCGTGTGGTATGTGCCGACGATAACAGGTCCTCAACGGTTATTAAATCAATTATATATGTGTATATATTAGGTCAAGCAAAAAGCTCGTTCGGTTTTCCGTTTGAAACTATTTACATATCCTTGGATACAAAAAGAAGCAAAAAAGACGCAAAAAAACAAGATGGACCGAATTTCCACCTGCGAATCGCTGCTGAATGGCAAAAAAATCGACCCGTTTCTAAAGCGATTTGTGACTGGCAATGAAAAATGGGACACTTACGACAACATCGAGCGCAAACAGTCGTGCTCAAACCTCGGGGAAGCGGCCCTGACGATGGCCAAGACCGGATTGACGGTGAGGAATGTTTTGCTGTGTGTTTGGTGAGATTGACAAGGAATCATCTACTACGAGCTGCTCCCCTATAGCCAAACGCTCAATTCGGCCCTCTACTGCCAACAAATGGACCGCTTGAAGGCAGCACTCATCCAGAAGAGGCCATCTTTGATCAACAGAGACCGAATTGTGTTCCATCAGAACAACGCCATGCCGCACACGTCTTTGGTGACGCGCCAGAAGCTCCAGGAGCTCGGATGGGAGATCCTAATGCACTCATCTTATAGTCCGGACCTGGCACCAAATAATTACCATCTTTTCCTGTCCATGGCGTGCGCGCTTAATGGTGAGAAGTTGGCCTCAAGAGAGGTCTGTGAAAATTGGTTCTCCGAGTTTTTTGCCAATTGGGACGCAGCCTTCTACGAGAGGGGTATAATGAAGTTGGCATCTCGTTGACAACAAATTTACGAACAAACCAGCGTATATTTGACTTAAATCGGACAAATGTACTCAAATTATCATATTCTGAAAAATCAATAAAAAAAACCGAACCGAACCGAACGAACTTTTTACTTGGCCTTATACATACATATATATATATATATATATCCAATTTATTTCTCATAACAACACTGGAATTATTAACACTCCTTGCCGAGGCAAACCCAAGCATTTAGTTAAAGATTTCCAGAAGTTCGACCGCCCAGGGCTCGCCACCTCGACTCTTCGAATCGAAACACGCACTAGTCTCCCGCGGCCGCCGAACATAGCTTAATACCTCTTATTGATACAATTTGTCACTGGTTTATAGTCTCTTGAAGAGATCTCCAACATACTGCGACGAAAAGCAGTTATCAGCCACCTAACCGACACGACCTTGCAGGTGGTCAGATGCCGCGCTGTTATATAACAGTAAATAAAATTTCTACATATCTGCATGTATATATATGCAGACATACTTATGTATGTGTATGTGTCCAATAAGTTTTCGTCTTACTATCCTCTCGTGCGCAACTGCGCAGCATACACTCTGAGGAAAACTAATAAGGGATGATGTGGCCATGGCAAGCTGCGCTTTGCAATTTGCATATATACATGCATACATACATACATACATACAAACAAATAAGGGTACATACATATGAAAGAACTATACCGAAAATTTCTACACGTGAATGTATCGTGCGAACAAAACATACAGACATATTTTGAAGGACAGTCAGCGACCTCGTCCTAAAAAGCAAAAGTGTTCAAAATGAATTTTTACTCCTTACAGATACACACGTACATACATACAATACTTACATGAAAATATTGCATAAGCGGCATAAAGTAATCATGTATGCGTGTATATATGTATGTACATGCGCTAGAAATTGCATACGCGCTGTTGATTGTGTAATTTTCGTAAATTTTCTTCTTTTTTATTACTACTTTATGAATCATCATCATTTACCTTAAACGAAGCATCGTATCTAATGAAAAAGGACGCTGAAATGTAGTTGCGTACATCGATTGTATTGGAGAGTCTTTGATATAGCTTCGGTGATATATGAACATTTTAAAGATTTTCTCATCAGCCACGCCATCGAGTTCTTCTGAGGCCACTGCAGTGCTTCTCTTCCATATTTGATCGAAGGGCAGCCATCGCAACATCGACCTACTACCAGCTTGCAATCAGCCTGATCCAGATTTATTTTGAGGTTGAATTAAGTTTATGAGGCTGCTCTCTATCTTTTTCCTCCACTTACTCCAACCAAAAGCACTTACTGTGGTCAGAACAGTTAGTTAATGATCCGTCATAGATCTCCGCAAAACTTATGCGGCTGTGTAAACTGATGCTAAGCAACACGGAAACATAAATTAGACTCTGGAAGGACCTCTCCGAGCCGTTCGATACCAAACGAGTTTCCAGACAAGAGGACTCCTTGTCTCAAATCTATTGTTGGAGAAAATAATAGGAGCTTCAGGGCTAAATTGAGAAGGTGCAATCTTCTATACGAGCATACAGATGAGTTTTGTTTCCTTCAGACAGGATAAGAAAGGAAAAGCACATGGGTCGGAAATGAAACAGGAACAAGACAAAGTATCTCCCGCTATAAAACAAACAGTCATTGCATTCGCGACTTGGCCCCCACGTCGCTGTTGATAGTCATAATTATGATGTATGTATGATGTATGGGTAATGTCAGCCTGGAAATCCAACGCATAATCACTGATGCCAATAGAAAAGTAAAGTCCTCTCTCGACGAACAAAGATCAAACTCTCCAAGTCACTGATTATTCCCGTCCTGCTATATAATGCCAACATCTTATGAGCCGGCGTTGGAAGTTTTCAAAAGAAACGTTGTTTGTAATATTCATGATCCTTTGCTCATAAGAACGGCAAGTCGATTGAACGATGAGCTCTACAAGATATCCCGCAACATTAAATTAGTTCAGCGATTTAAGAGACATCAGCTGCGCTGATAAGGTCATCTGGTCGAAATGGATGGGAAAACTGCAGTTTGGAAAGTTTTCAATGCAGTATCCGCCGGTGAAAGTCCTCCAATCCGTTTGAAAAATTCAGGCGAATAAGGTATTTATACAATATTTTTGATTGGCGCCAAAAATCGAAAAAGAAGGAAGGAACGGCACCGTGTAAGCGTTTTCTAGATCAGTAAAGAAGAAGAAGATCCAATAAAGGTAGCTTCTCTGACACCCTACAGTTATCAAGGATTAGGACATCATATCATCCAGAGAACCCATACGAATATGTGTATATAAATGTTGATTTATATCCCTTATTGCTCATCTTTAGCGTTTGCTTCTGAGTTTCCCCATAGATTTCGTCAGGTATCCATATAATGACCTATAGAAGGACTTAATTTCAACAACAATTTCTCTATAGGTCGCACATTCTCGTGATAGGCTATGTAGGGGATACCGGAGAGAAGTCATCTTCCTTCAGTTCCTCTTTTACCACCATTGCATCCGATGATCTTTACTTAATTAAAACAAAGAATTCAACTTATATTCTTTTTGATGAGAGAGAATCTATTGTAGAAGTGTTCTGCTCTGCACCTTTATATTGTTTTCTTCAAAATTTCGGGCTCTTGGTTGAGGCTGATGTCAACGCCCTTCTAATTTACATAATAACCAACAGCGATTTGAACACATCCTCGAAGAAGATATGTATCTAATGTAAGATGTAGCCGGGTATTGATTATATAAAGGAGCTCTTAACTTCGGTAGGGTTTTACTTCTTTCGAGGCTTCCCTCTCACATTAGACGTGACCAAAAGTAAGGTTTTTTTTGAATAAGCTTGCAT